ATCAGACCAATCAAACCCGCTACTTCAAACGGGCATAGGTTCATTCTGGTGGCCATGGACTAGTTCACAAAATGGGTTGAAACTGCATCTTATAAATTTGTAACTAAGAAGGTTGTAGTGGATTTTGTTTGGGACCGCATTGTTTATCGATTTTGAGTACCAGAGTCAATCATTACTGACAATGCCGCCTATCTCAACAACGATTTGATGAAAGCCATGTGTGAAACATTCAAGATCAAGCATAGGAACTCCACAGTATACAGGCCGCAAATAAACGGAGCCGTAGAAGCTGCCAACAAGAACATCAATTTTCCTCAATATATATTGAGGAAAATTGTGGACAATTACAAACAATGGAATGAGAAGCTACCATTTGCTTTACTTAGGTATTGTACCACAGTTTGCACATCAACTGGGGAAACTCCCTACCTACTGGTTTATGGTACTGAAGTTGTTATTCCCGCCAAAGTGGAAATTCCTTCTTTAAGAATCATATAAGAAGCCGAGCTTAGCGATGCAGAATGGATACGAAGCCGGTATGAACGATTAGCTCTCATTGATGGAAAAAGAATGAATGTGGTATGTCACGGTCAACTCTACTAGAACTTGATGGCAAGAGCTTACAACAAAAAGGTCAAGTCAAGGCAATTCACACTGGGGCAATTGGTATTGAAACGAATCTTCCCACATCAAGATAAAGCAAAGGGAAAATTCTCACCCAATTGGCAGGGCCCTTACATTGTTCACCGGGTATTGACAGGAGGAACACTTGTACTCGCAGAAATGGACGGAGAGATTTGGCCAAAACCTATCAATTCAGACGCAGTCAAGAGATACTATGTTTAAGATTGTTTGCACTTTCTATTTGATGTAACTAAACTACGCTTGACCTAATTCTTGTTTAAGAGAGGATACGTAGGCAGTCCTGTGGGTTCGGTCACATCATAATAAAATCTCCATTTTCCCTATGGTCAGAAACTGGGGCGCATGATCTCATCATGTTTGGAACCGCCAAGGAATGGGTTACCGGAAGTATGCATTTAAACTGGGGCAGAATTTTGAGGAGGATCCTCAAAATTCCGAAGCAAGGAGGTTGCAACGTCTCAAAATGCGTCACAATCATCAGTTCATCAAAATCATTTGATCTCGTGTATTATCACATATTTCAAATAACTACATTTCTGAAAAATAATTTGTCAAATACATGCATGTTTTTCGAAAATTTGTTTCTATGGCAGCCAGACGTTACCCAGGGTAACTCAAGCAGGGCCTCAAGGAAAAAGGAAAAGCAAGGAAATCGAGAGTACGAACCAACCGTCCCCTGCATAACTCACAATTTTTCTTTGAATGCAGGCACAATGAACATGATAGGAATATTCGCAAGTACATACACACAGCAAAATCACTATCTTCATAACGACAAAGTTGCCAAATGCAAACACACCAAGCTAAGAAATACTTTACTCTCTCGCAGCTTTTCATTGCTTTTCTTGCATAGGGCTAAGCACTTCCCTCATCATCGCACAAGGCTAAACACTGCCTTCTTTGCATGAGACTAAGCATTGTCTCCATTCCTTGCATAAGGCTAAGCACCGCCTCCATTATCACATAAGCCTAAGCACTGCCTTCTTTGCATGAGACTAAGCATTGTCTCCATTCCTTGCATAAGGCTAAGCACTGCCTCCATTATCGCATAAGGCTAAGCTCTGCCTTTCTTTGCATGAGACAAAGCATTGTCTCCATTCCTTGCATGAGGCTAAGCGTTGCCTCCATTATCGTATTGCCTTTCCTTTGCAAGAGACTAAACACATTCCTTGAATGAGTCTAGGCATTGCCTCCATTATCGTATAAGGCTAAGCACTGCCTTTATTTGCATGAGGCTAGGCGTTGCCTCCATTATCGCATAAGGCTAAGCACTGCCTTTGTTTGCATGAGGCTAAGCAATGCCTCAATTACTGCATAAGGCTAAACATTTCCTCTCTTTGCATGAGACTAAACACTGTATCCACTACACTGCATAAGGCTAAGCACTACCTCCTTCTTCGCATAGGGCTAAGCACTGTCCTCATCTCATACAAGACTAAGCCCTGTCTTGTCTCGTCCTCTCATATGGCTAATAATCGCCTATTTTCTATATCAAACAATCGATATCTCCACATCTTTGCATTTCATGGGCTGAAACATCGCCGCATTGTTCAAAAGCGTCATAGTCCAAAGGCACCATCCTCATAGCCTGAAGACACCATTCCATGGCCTGAGGATCTCTCAAAACTGCACATCATCATTCAAAGGCATCATAGTCTAGAAGCACCACCCTCATAGCTCGAGGACACCATTCCATGGCCTGCGAATCCCTTATCATAAGCTTCATGGACCAGGACGTCATGGTCTAAGGACATCATTCTCATCGTCCAAAGACAACCCTCATGGTCTGAAGAGAATTTGCATCATGATTAAATTTTCGCAATAACCCATATATATTAGCATGCACCTTGTTTTAAGTTTTGTAGGTAACCGTTCTACAAACAGGAGCAATCCTCGCTCCGGTTTCCGTTCACAATGTTCACATCCTTCGACTACCACAAACGTAACCGACGACCAGTAATTGAATGCCTTTACTCCATAACTGTTCAAATATCTGCCTTGTGGTACACCCGTAACGTCCAAATTCACATTCATGACTCCACCTAAGTGTCCGTTACCTACGAACTATCCTACCCAAAAGAACCTTTTCGAAACATACAACCACTCTTATAATAATTCCATCGGTTTCGTTCGCCGTTGGATCCAGAACTACACACAGCCTGATTCCCGTAACATCAGGGATATGTAGTCAACTCAAGAACCAGGGTTTGGCCCCTATTTTTTTCAAAATACATCATGCCTCACTCAATTCAGACAAAATTGGTCATTATTTTCTTTACCCGACAACTCTTTCATCATTCCCTGGTAAAGAAGGGCAGTTGTTGATACCTAATTTTGCCCTCATTTTTTTAAATGGTATATATATTTTCAAAATATCATTTTGCATCATTACTTAGTTTACAAGATTTATACAAATATTTTATAATTTTTCATAATTTTTAGAGCTTTAAAATTAATTTTCTTGCATTTAAATTACTTGAATATTTATTAATTACCCCTTAAATTATTTTGTGATGATTTAATTACCCAAAGCTATTATTTGCATCAACATATATGTTTCAGAATATTTTATTTTATTTTTTATAAAGCATATTTGTATTTTTAAGCTATTAACATAATTTTACAATAATAGCATATATGCTATGCGTAATTACATCCTATTACATTATTTGCACTCAAATAGTATTTTATGTTTTTATAATATTAAATTATTATTTTCATGCATGTTAATGCACAAACAATATTTTTATTTTTTTTAAATTAATTTTTATAATTTTTTTCGTGTATTTAATTTGTAGCTTAATTTGGAGTCAATTCTGGACCAATTTAATGGTCCAAATGAACAAAACCTCTAAGGCCAACCTCTTTTGGCCCAAACCAGACAACCCCTTGCCCAAACCCGGTCGGGATCTGTTAAAACGACCCGCTCCAACCCTAGCCGTTGATCTCTCAAGATCAACGACCCACAATCACCCTTCCACTTTTAATTAACCAAACCCCCGAAACCCTAACCCATTTCTCCTAAGCCGCCGCCCCTAAACACTCTCAATCCTCCTCTTCTTTCTTCTCTGAAACCCTAATAGCCGCCTCCCTTAACTCTCTCCGATTCCTACCCCAAAATAAAATCAATCCATGATTCCCTTACCTTAAACGTTCTGTCATCTTGTTACTTGCACGATTTTAGCATCACCTAGTACTTGCCTATTTTTGGCAAGTACCAGGCCTTGAGTTATGAACAATCGTCCTCAATCTTGTCACACCTCCTTTTTTCCGAGGGATAGGAAAATAGGGAGTTTTTCCAATTAAAGTAATATTAATCGAAATAGAATAGTTTATTTAATTTTAGAGTCGCCACTTGGGATAATTATATGGTGTCCCAAGTCACCAGTTTATTTTAAATCCCAAAACGAGGAAATTTGACTCTGTTTTAAAATCTGCGAACACGGAAGACCGGGTAAGGAATTCTGTTAACCCGGGAGAAGGTGCGAGACACTCCCGAGCTCTGTGGTTTTAGCACGGTCGCTTTAATCATACTTGGCCTAATTATCTTGTTTAATCACATATTTTAGAACCTATGCACATTTAAACTTTACCGCTTTTAATTATGGCGTTTATGGATTTATCTTGGAATTGGATCACATGTGTGAAAACCCGTTTATTTGGGGCGCTAAAATCATGTCACATGAACGTGTACACAATTAATCACGCTATTTGGCCGAAGTTGCGCGAACGCATGCCTCGATTTATTTTGGAAAATTATAATTATGTCACGCGAACGTGTACATGATCACGATAATAGATTATAAACGAGCCTAAAGCCTACGAATTTAAGGAATGTCTAAAATTGAAACCACGTGCGAAAGTTATACTATTAAAGGAAGAAAATCAATTATAGACTAAAAAATAAAAGTCATATCTATATCGCCGTCTGTTGGTATGTAAACAAAATCTTGGGTGATGTGATGATTTTTCCTTTTGAAATTAATGTTAAGAAGTGTTGATAGTGGACTTTTGATGATAATAAATATGGAATCCGTTGTTTGAGTGAACATGTAAATCTTTATTAGAATGTAAAATGTTTCAACAAATTAGATATCATTCTCCTTAGTAAAACTGGACTCATCCTGGATCAATAAGACATGGGCCCAGATTGGAGCCCAGAAAGTCAGCGTAAATAGCCTACTGTATAGGCCTGGAAGTTCTTTTCTACCATGAGTTTCTAAGATGGCTAAGTTGAGACCAAGCCTAAAGAAAGAAATGTTGGCCTTTCAGCCCTGATAAGTCCAAAACTTCCACAAACATGAGGGTATATAGCATTATCTATGGATATAACTCAGAAAAAGAAGAAAAGAAAATAAACCATCAAGGAACAGAGATACTTTACTCGAAAACAAATAGTTATTTACATGAACTTTACTGTAGAATCTGAATAACTAATTTGCACAAAATTTACAAGTTCTACACTACGTTATCCATAACTTTCTTTCAACTTGGGCCAGCAGACATAGTGTCATCATCCTTCACCTTTTGAACTAATTTTTCTTAGCCTGCTTGCATGTAAACCTGACCAACTGGTGGTCAGGCTCACACCTTGCTTCGCTCTTATGCTGTTTCAGGTATAAAATAACATTCTTCAACTATTATTCTTCAACAACATGCTCAACATTAAATAAATACAACAAGTCTTAAATAGACAAACTTTGTTAAGTAAATTCAACAACTAAAACAAAATCCAGCATGGGTGTAGCAGTTAGGTTAAGCAAATGCAATATCAACACATATAGATCTTTTAGACTATTGAATTGCTAACAATATTAGATCCATGAAGTCATTAATAGATACAACACCAAACAGTCAATTTAAAATAAAGAGAACAAAATAGTGGATATCTTACATACCTAGAGGCAGAAAAATAGCTGAGAAATAACGGACCAAAGAATCAGATAAAAAGACCTCAGCTGCTGCTAATAGAATCAACAGAATCAGCACTTCAAACAGCCCAATCAACTTCTACAAACCCAGGCAATATGCAGCAAATGAACAAAAGCTAGAAGCTAAGTTCTTTCTTCTGAAATGCAGAAATGGGAGCTGGAATCTTCAGAACAATAAAGTGAGAAGGAAGATGACTAAAATGGGATATCTCTAAAAAATGCAGGAATTAGTGTGTAAAACCAGTCTCAAAAATGAAGAAAAGAGTGTGAACTTCAGAGTGTACTTTCGTGTAAAAATCTGTGTGAGTGAAGGGAATGTGAGGCCTCTTATATAAGCAAAGGGTGAGGGAATAATCAGATGAATGCAATCCCTAAAATTTAGGAAAGAAGCATCTTTTTAAACAGAAAATGGACAACTGTTGGGACAACTGTCTTATCCAGATATTCCCTATATTTTTAGCCCTTTTAACTTCTGAAAATCACCTCTTTTAACCCCAATATGACCTAATTCTTTTCATTTTATTGCACTTTAACCCTTTTTCTAGAAGCTTCCTAAACAACTATTCAGATTTCCTAATTTTGGTTTCCAATTACCCCCATAAAGTTTCTGTTATTACCCCTTCACCCCCTTAATTTCTAATTGGCATTCAAACATCAACAATCAAACAATTAAGGCAAAAATCAAAGACAAACAAAACAGAAACAATCTATTAATTAAATCTAACTAAATTACTGAACTAATAAAGTTGATTCCATTAGCCTAAAACACATGCGATTAAACTTATGAAAATGCAATTAACTAAATAATCCTATCAATTAAACAAACCAATCAAAATTAAAAACCCAACTGATAACAGAAAAAGAAACAAAGGAATAGGAGAAAAGAAGTATACTGATTTTGGGCTAGAAATAAATGGACGATTAAGGCGAATCGACGAACAATGATGGCGATGAAGCTTTGGCCGATCACTGAAGAGTTGGCCGGAATTCGGTGGTCGTGAGATGAACCAAGACTAACATCAATTTATTGCTCTCATCAAGAGCAATCAGTTGATGTAGGTTTCAAGTTCAAAATGGCCGAGATTGAGGAGAAATCAAAGAAGGACGGATTTATGGTTTTTCGGCCTTCTTAGATCTGAAATTCGAAGGATTTGGGGATGTTTTTGGAGAAATTGATAGGGGGTTAAGGTTTAGGAGGGTGTGGGGAGTGTGTGATGTCAATTTGGGGTGGTTTGGGGTGTTGCCGCCACCGTGGGGCGATTTCCGGCGGCGGCAGACGGCAGAGGTGAGAGAGAAGTGATGGAGATGGAGAGATAGGTTCTGAGAGGAGTTCTAAGGGTTTGGGGAGGGGTCTGTTTGGACAGATTTAAGGGAAAGAGGTGGGGAGTGCAGGGCCGTTGGATTAAGTTTGATGAAGAGCTGGGATTAGTTGTGACCAAAGCGGGGTCGTTGTGGTCAATTGGGGAGGGGACCAGATTTAAAAGGTCTGGGCTGGGCAGGTGGAGAGCAATTGGGCTTGAAAAATAGTTTTGGCCCAACATTTTGAAGTGAAAAATGGCCTCTTTTCTTTCCTTTCTATCTTTTTCTTTTAATTTTGAATTTGAATCCTACTCAAATTAGTTCAAACATAAATTAAATTCTAAGTTAAATCTAATTTGTAAAATTAAAAATTAATTATCTATTTCTAACATTAAAATAACTAATTAACTTAAAACTAAAGAAAGAAAAATGCTAATTGATAATAGGTGAATTTGACTATAATCACACCTTAAATAATCACCTTCTTGTGTAGTTTTAATGCTAAAAGTGATGACAAAATGCTCTCATTAGTGCTTTTCATGATTTGTAGGTGATATATGTATAAGGAAGGCTAAGGAGCAGTTTTGGAGTTAAAGGTGATGAAAAAGAGGCCAACTGTGAAATTTCCCAAGTGAACCAGGCAAAACAGGCCGAGGAATTCAGAGTACTGGATCCACCGGGAAGCAGCTGCAGAAGATGTGAGAATCCGCGCGGGTGTTTGGCCGCGGTTCTACCGCGACCGCGGCAGAACTGCGCCAGGTGCAGAAACTTCAGGGACCAAAGTGTCAATTACGGGATTTTTAGATCTAAAACCTATTTAAAACATTAGACTTCGCCCAAGAGAGGCATATATTGATTTTTTTAGGTTTCTTAACAAGGAAAACCATTGTGAGAAAAGACTCAAAACATCTTTCGTTTTTTTCTTTTGATTTTTATGATGAATTCAATCTTAGTTTATTTTCCCATAGCCATGAGTAGCTAAATTCCTTGTCTAAGGCTTTGATGGAACCTATTGGGTGATGGACTTCTTGTTTATGTGAATACAAATTGCTAGTTTAATCTTTATTTGTTCAACTTCGTGTTCGTTGTAGTTAATTGACAGGATCCTCAATTAGCTGTGCCTATTTAGTGTGCATAACTTGGAAAAGAGTGCATATTTAGGGTATTGTTGAACAACACAACTCCTAGATTATTAGAGGAATCTATGATTGCGGGTTTAAAGGCGGGATTAGGGATAACGAAGCATTGGGTGTAATCTAAAGTGAATTGTGCTAAATAAAGTAAGCTAGTGTATCTCGAAAGAGTGCAATAGTAGATTACTGTGATTACTCGGGAGAGATTTGCAGTAAGATTAGCGTTCATGATTGATAGAGATGTGTGGGTAAATTTGTATGAGCATAAACAGAAGGGATTCCATCAATAGGGGAAATCATTGCCTTAGCTTTTTCTCATAATTGTTTACAACCTTATTAATTTAGATACAGCCATTTAGTTACTTGCAAGCTAGTTGTTAAAGAACACTCAACTGAGAATTTGAATATTTGAGAAGCTGGTTCTGAAGACTTAGTGGGTCTGAAGATAGCGGTTGATAGGTTAACTCTCTGTGGATTCGACCCTGGGCGTAATACTCGGGTTATATTTGCAACGTCCGCAGAGTCCTTTTTATAAGGCATAGTTGGGCGTGATCAATGATCTTACACGATGTGATTTCAAATTAGTATATTAAAAAATAATTGAGTGAAAAAGAGTTATATTGTAATACTAGAAATAATAATCTTTGAATTGTTTATACGGTTGTTTGATTTTATTGGTATTCAAAATGTGATATATGATATATTATCTAAGACAATTTTTTTAAAAAAAAAAAAACTGAATAAAATTCTGCTTACAAATTTAATTTTAATCTTTTTTTAGAAATCGCACAATACACAAATTAAACATATGAAATTAATTATCGAGTAACCTTACGGAGAAACTCAAATATCATAACCATGCATATAGTTAGTTAACAAACAATTTGAAATATAATACGCTTTAAAAACTCGTAAAAGGACTATTCAATATCGCTATTGTTCGATTAATTTTTAGGCACTTTTAACGTGAAAAAAAAATTACAAGTATATCTCAGTGACTTTCGTACTTCAGACTTCAA